TAATTCGTGCTTAGAATTCACTCCAGTTTATTTTGCCACCAAAAGGAAAAAAACAACCTTTTTTTAAAGGGCCCCATTGTCTGGAGAGATTGTAAGAACACTGCAATTGAAGGAAGCCAGAGATTTGGGGGGTGATTCACCAACCACAAGCCCCTCTCCACTCTGCCACCAAAAAATTTTTTAAATCACTAAATTTATAATTTTTTAAAAGCTATGACTCTTCCTAAATGATTCTCTAAATGGAGAAACTGCAACCTCCTAAGTCCTTTTCTAACTTGTTTTTACACCTACCAACTTTCTTGCTAGTTCTTCCCACTTAAAGAAAGCATTCACGGGAAAAATATATCCACCTCCAAAGACACACAAACATTTAGACACACAGACAGAGCTCCCACTTCACATCATTACAATGAACACGCTAGCATTTGCAACTCCTCCTTCCCTTCAGCAGTGCCACCCATTCCAGGGGAACAGGCTCCATGGTCCCCAGTCCTGCTTCAGCACAAAGCCCTCTACGGGTTGCTGGGGTCACCGTGTCATCAAGACAGCCCGAGGGGAAAATCCAGTGTGAAAGTTGATCTTGGAAAATGTAACCAAGATCTGGGCTCACTGGCTTTTTGTCATACGCCCTTTGGCACAATTAGACAGATTTTTTTTTTTTAATCATTCATGTGTAATTTTACTAATAACAATTAAATGGACTAGCATTAACCATATGAAATTGCCATTTTTTGGAGATAAAAAATAGTCAAAGATCAGCAATTTTATACAACTCAACCTAATAAAAAAGAAAAGACACAAGTCTCAAAGGGCAGCCCAAGAGGCCAAGGGGTAAGGAGAACACCAATAATGATAATTTACATCATTTTTATATGACATGAGATCCAGGACTCCTAATTATTCCCAGAGAAACAACCCTCTGCTTCAAAAGCCTTGCACAGATACTGTGATCAAAATTGGGTGTTTCCAGTAGCCAAACTACACTGGGAAAGACTTTCTATTATTGGCTCTGTTCTACCAACTAGGAAACTGGGGCCCAGAGAGGTTCAGTGACTCAAACAAGATAATCAGCTTATAAAGGCCAAGGATGGGGCTTAAAAGAAAAAGTCATCTGGCTTCAAATCCAGCGCCCTTTCACCCACCCGACCTTGTCTCTATAACGTAAGAGGAGGAATGCATCCAATAAACATTGTGATTTATACATAAATACAAGTCGGAGATACAAGAGGGTCCAGGACTGCTCCCTCCCCCCCCTTAACTAGCTGTTTACACAACAACGGCAATAATCACATCGTCTAACATAGTCAATATTAGTGAGGACTCAGATTTTTGTAGAGCCTATCTCACATGGAGGAACAAAACAGGCACTTTGCAGATAAACAGCTGAATCTGAACTGTGACCCTGAGTTACACGCTTTTGCTTCTTAGCTCTTTCGCCTCTTTGATTCTCCCCTGTCCTATCACCTGCAAACATCATGCTAAACCTATCACCCCAGAGAGCTGCTGAGGTGCTAGCTGGGACACGCTGGAACCTGGCACACGGCAGCTCTTCAGGAAAAATGGACTCCCTCCCCCACCCCTCTAATAACTTACTAAGTTAGAGGGGTCATACTGGCCAAGAGCAAAATCCCTCAGGAAATTTCTTAACTTAGAATCTGACACTCACGGGGCCAAAAAAGAAATCACAAGATAAGGGGAAATGAATGCTTCTCGCAGTTTACCTCCTATCATTGCAAAGAAAACTGGGCATCGTGCCAGGATGGAAGTAATGCATGTCTGTCAACACATGCCCAGTGAGTGCCAACTACCTTGAGGGACTACATTGTAATAAGTAGGCCAGTCCTTCCTGGACAGATGGGGCCGTGACAGCTTAGGAGCCTGGAGATCTGCTCCAAGGCCGTGAGCCCCAGGGGCAGTGGTCTCACAGAGAAACGGGTCAGAGAAGGACATGAGAGTTATGATTTGCTTAATCCACATGTTCGGCAGATGGATGGATAATCAAACAAATAGACAACCAAAAACCTCAAGAAAAAAATGAAAGAAATGTGATCGGTAGGAGTTATAATGATAGACTGGGAAGTTTTACATATTTTTTAAATTTAATTACTCTTCATAAAGATCTGCTATCCTTTTTCAGTATTTACAGACAGGCCACATACTGTCCAGTACACATATAGATTAACGGCTGACACATTAAAATAAGCAAACTAATCCCAAAGAAAACTTATTAGATAATATAGATAAGTATATTTTAGCCAGGGATTCTCAAACTTTTGGTCTCAAGATCCCTTTCATTCTTAAAAACTAATGACGAGCTGAAAGAGGTTTTGTTTGTGTAAGTTATATCTACCAATATTATTATATTAGAAATTTAAATTATGAAATTTATAAAATATTTATTTTTAATTCGTTTAAAATAGCATCACAAGTTAACATGAATAACACATTTTTATGAAACAATTATATTTTCAAAGGAAGTTTTAGTTAGAAAAATAGCATTGCTCTACATTTTTACATATCTCTTTACCATCTGGCCTGAGGCAGTTAGATTTCCACACCCACTTCTGCATTCAATCAGTTTCAAAATGTTATTTTAGTTAAAATAAATTGAAGAAAATCTAGTCTCACACAGATCCACAATAGGAAAAGGGAGGGGTATTTTAATAGCCTTCTGGATTTTCTTCTTTGATATCACACCAAAACTCAACAAGTGGTGGCTTCTTAAAGGTTGGTTGCAATGTGGAATCTAAAACCCTATCAATGAATATTTTTGTTACATGAAAATCCTTTATAAATCTTTTGCCCATGCTACATTTTATAACATTATACATTCACTAGTCATTTGGAGATAGACATTCAGGCAGAACTTTGAAGCACAGATACTTTTCCTCATATAGTATCAAAAGATCATGTTAATATCGGCAGTCATCTCAGTCTACGTACTGGAAAGCCGTCAAGTTCACAGTGGGAGAAGCAAGTTTTCCAAAATTCTAACTTTGATTGAAAGCTTGAATTTTATCACTGCCAACAAATATTGCTATTGTTTTCCTTGCCGTGAAGCCTTAGACAGTTCTTTTAGAGAAAATGTCTGCCAAATACCCAAGTGTGAATTACTGTAGTTTGTCTATCATTCTTTCAAGTAAAAACTGTGTTCCATGCAAAAAGCATTTAACTCAGCTTGCAACTCAATCCTCAAGTGTCGTTCCTCTATACAACTGTCACATGCGACAGAAGTGCTTTACACACAATTCCTATTCTGTCACATAAAATATTTAAAAGATACATACTTAAGGGGTAAGATTTAACCAAATTAACAATATGTATTACTTCATCAAGGACAGTCTTAAGTGAACTTGGCTTTTTGTTTTCTTTTTTTGTTCACTAAGATTGCACGGTGGGAAGGTATGCAATGACTACAGGACAGCTGGATACCTAGCCTTGATTTGTGTTGAAAAAACCACGGGTTTGTTGTACAAACCTTGGCTTTTACATCATTAGTGCAAATATCAGTAGAGTGAGTGCAAAAGGCAAATAACATGTTAGTGTTCTTTTAAAAGTGAGGCTGACCTCATGGCCCCCTGAATGGGTGTCAGGGCCCCCCATGCTTCCACAGACCATATTGTGAGAACCACTGTTTTAGATTGGAATAAGAAAATCTTCTTATGATACAAAAACGCACTAATTCAAAAAGAAAAAAATGATAATTTGACTATATTGAAATGAGTAACTTCTGTTTATCAAAATATACTTTTATATGATTATATATATTATATATTTTATATTTTATATTATTATAATATATATATTATAAAATCCAAAAAGTATATATACTTTTAAAAGTATACAAAATATAAGTTTTAAAAGTTACAGCCTGGGAGATGCTATTCACAATACATAAGCCCAACAAAGCACCTACCAACAATATTCAAAGAATTTCTACAAATCAACAACAGCACAAAGAATTCAAGAGAAAAAAACGAGCAAAAGATATGACTAGACATTTCCTGGAAACGACCAGTTATCACATGAGGAGAGGCTATTTCATCAATGACCACAGAAAGGCAAACCAGAGCCACAGTGTAGTAACATTTCACAAGCAAAAGTCAGAAATCTGAGAAAATGAAATGTTGGAGAGGATTTACACCCACAGAATCCTGATACGTTACTGGAAGGAGCATAAATTGGTGTAGCCACCTTGACAGAGAGTTTGGCATTATTACCCAATGATTCAGCAATTTAATTCCTAGATTTACACCCAAAAGAAACTCTCTCACATGTTCATCACGAGACAACAAGGACATGCATCTCAGCATGATTCACGAGGGCAAAAACCTGGAAACATCCCAAACACAAGAAATTTAGTGAATGAATAGTAATAGGCTCTGACCACAGAATGTTACGGTCACCAAAACAAATGAGTTACAGCAACACTCAGTAACATGGATTGCGTCATGTGCTATGATACATATAAAATCACTAAAAGATTGCAGATGGTCTTTAAAAAACACAATTTCATACATACATATATACATACAACATGTACATATATACACTTTTAGGACTCACATAGATGTTATGAAACAATATAAAACAAGACAGCGAGAGAATGAAGAAAACAGGACTCAGGGTACATGGAATGAAAGTGACCAGGGAGATGGCAGGTGGGGGAGAGGGTAGAGCATTCAGTCACATGGAGCTTATTACTGTCAGTGTCTTGGCTTTTGTTTTGGTTACTGAGTTTGAGAGAAATTATTAACATGATTACAACTAACCAAATAAGGGGCCGGCTCCATGGCCAAACGTTAAGTTTGCACTCTCCGCTTCGGCAGCCTGGCGTTCGAGGTTCAGATCCTGGGCACAGACCTTGATGAAGCTCATCAAGCCATGCTGTGGTGGCGTCCCACACAGAAGAACTAGAATGACTTACAACTAGGATATACAACTATTTACTGTGGCTTTGGGGAGAGAAAAAAAAAAGAGGAAGATTGGAAACAGATGTTACCTCAGGGCCAATCTTCCTATTAAAAAAAAAACTAACAAAAAAAGAATTTTAAAAGTCAATCTTGCATGAACTTTGCACAAGAATATATCATAAATCAAAGATTATAGTCAATCAACTATATGCACCAAAGATCAATAAAGATATCTATGCATTTTAACCCACTGCACACTAGAAAGTGACAATTCAGAATAAACTGTAAAAGACTTATCATTTGAGAATAAAGGAAATGAAGTCCTTAACTTGACCAAATTTGAACAAATAGATTCATTCATAAACTCAGAAAGTATCTACTGAATGTCTGCTATACGAGCCACACACTAATGCAGCAACAAAAGGAATAAGTTCTGTTCTCATGAAGCTGACCTCTAAGGGAGGTGTACGCCAGAAGAAGGGGGGAGGAAATAAGTTTAAAAATAAATATTATTCTAAATACTGAAGACAGCTATAAAGAAAATAAAACATGGGGAGAGGCAGGAGTGCTGAGCAGGGCATGGCTACGTCAGACCCGCGAGCAGGGAAGGCCTCCCCGAGGAGGAGACGTTGAACAGAGACCAGCGAGGCGGCCTCCCTGAGCAGGGCAATGAGACAGAAGCCAGGCCTCCGGGACCAGGACCCGCCTCAGGGCTGTGCTCTAGACCTTAACAGAATTGGACTGCACCATCACCATGGAGACAGTGTGAAACAAATCCACCTGGGTGTTCCAGCTGTTCGTACGCAGCCTGGACAAAACTCAGCTGGTCCTGCTCCAGACCCCTGCCAACAGCCCCACCTGTTTGCAAAGGACCAGAGACCCCTCATGGGTTCCTGGGGCAGAGAAAAGGCATGCACTGCTCAGAGCTCGGTGGCCATGAGTGACAGACAGGAAGAGCTCAGGGGAGAGCTAGGCAGCTCAGCTTTGCATTTTGTTTTCAATTTTTGTCCCACTGGGCCAGAATACCTAAGTAGCACAACAATAATCTATATTTACAACAAATATTGGTTTACCTGCCAAGGGCACCAAATACTCACTGGCTGGCCTTCTCCACACTCCACACTCCCCCGTGCCCCCCACACACAAACACACCTGGACCTGTTCCACAAGTTAATCACATCAGTGACATCCAAGAGATCAAAGAAAGGGTGCTGGCCTCTTTGCTGCTTCAGGCTGGACAAATTCACATTCGAGTCCCACAGGCGAGGAGCGGCCGCTGCTGTCCACTGGGAGAGCGATGCAGGCCCCAGACAAGGTGCTTGGACCAGGGCAGTGATAATCCAAGTTATGCTGACATGGGATCTGCCAGGCTCCTCCCAGGACCCTCTAGAGGGGAGGCATGAAACCAGGGTAAGACCCTACAGCTTAGACGCTTAGTCACAGGGCGTGGAAGAGCTGGGCCCTGGTCGTAGGCGCTCTGGTTACCACCTCAGGAACTTGCTCAAGCCACTAAGCTCCCTTCACCTGCTTTCTTCCTGCGTAAAATAAGGTCCTCCATCAGAAACTCAGCCAACACCTACCAGGAACCACCCGCTGGACTGGATGAAAATACAAAGTTCTCTCTCCACGCAGCAGTGCAGACAAGCTAACAAAAGCAAGTCTTTCCAATAGGGGAGGATACTCCCTAGTGGTTAAGGCTTCAGAATGGCACCGACCTGCATTCACATCTCAGTTCCACGACATCCCAGCAGCAGCACAGTGGACAATTTCTTCACACTCCCTACAGTTCAGTTTCCTCAACTATAAAATGGGCTTACTTCTCTCTCTTCGGGACAACTTGAGGATTTAAGAGCGCATAGCTGTAGTTCATTCATTTTCACTGTTACGTAAAATGTCCCAAGATAAATGATGTGTTTTTTACCCATTCTCCTGTCAGTAATCATCTGAGCTATTTCCACATCTTTGCTATTTCAAACAGTGTTTCTACAAGCATCCTTGCAAGTGATCCTGGGCATGCCCCTGTGAGAGTTTTCTAGGGCACATACCCAGGAATTAAAATGCTCAGCCATCGGGTGAGTGAACGTCCCTCTTTTCTAAATATTTCCAATTCCTTTTCCAAACTGCTGGACTTTAGAAATATAATGCTGAGCATGGGATACAAAGAAGTCCTGGTAGAATACATACAGCGTGAACAATTTGTACAATGGAAGGTATGTTCCTGTGGATTCAAATCATTCATTTTAAAAGGGAGGAAATGGAAAACAGAATTCAGGACAGGGTCACCTCCGGGCGGAGGAGCACTGACAGCCTGGGGAGGATGCAGCGGGAGATGCTGGAGGGGTGCTGGCTCTCAGTGCGGCACTGCGTTCTTTTTGTTGTGCTTTAGCTTATGTGACATAAATTCTTTTCAAAGGATCAAGTATTCCAATAAAAAGAAAAAATGAAATCCATTAGCATTGCCCATATCTGGGGCAAGGTAAAGTTCCCAATGAATATTCGGCAGTTATTGCTATAAAATGTGATGACAGTGGAAGAGATGACAAGACACAGCTGTAGCTGCAGATGAGGTGTGACTGACGGGGCAGGTGGGACAGTGCTGCCCTGTGGCGGGAAAGCAGGTGGCTCCTCAGCACCCAGGGCTGGGAGGGCCCCAGAACTGCAGGAACCGGAGGTGGCGGTGGGGAGGAGGACACGAGGCTGCTCGGGTGCCAGAACCACCAGACTCTGACCCCGAGAGGGCAGGGGCAATGTTGGTGGTTTTCTGCTTCACCCTCAAGCCCAAGAACACTGCCTGAGAACAGGTGCCAAAAGAGTATTTGATGGAAGAAAGGAAAAGTTTGTTTCATAGATGATGGTTTAAAACAACGTTTTAAGTAAAGATTACTTTGACTTAGAAGAATAGGTAGAAAGAGAAAAGAAGACAGCCAAGAACAGAAAAAGAAACACCAATTTTAAGGATAGGCAAGGAGCTCCCAAAGGTACCTGAGAAGGAAAGGTCAGGAGGAAGAGAAGTCCAGAGACGGCTGTGATGTGTTTGCTGTGTCAGGCACCGAGCTCAGGACCCGGCCTCAAAACTGATACACACATACATTCATATACACCTATAGACACACACGTGTATGCAGATACGCTGTATGTAATACAGATCATGCAAACAGTACATGTATACACAAGCACACATACACACACACAGACTCTATTTTACTGAGCCATTTTGAAAATAAGTTGCAGGCAATCACGGCCCTTCCCTCCTGAACACTTCAACATGCATCTCCGACAAACAAGAACATTCTCCTGCCGCGTCATAGCAGCATCATACCTAGGAAGATTAAGATCAATTCAGTAATTTCATATAGAGTCTGTATCCAGACTCACACGATTGTCCCAGAACCATTTCTGTGGCTCTCCCCTCTGCTCACCCCAGTCACCAGCACAGATCACTCCTATTATTTCTCTTTGGCCTCTTTTGATCCAGAACTGCTCCCTCCCACCCAGCATGTTTGCTTTTCGTGGCATTGGTTTTTTAAAGAGTCTAGGCTGGTTGTTTTGCAGAATGTTCCATACTCTGAATTTGTCCGACTCTTCATCCGTGATTAGTGTTTTCACAAGGTCTGTTGTGTACATCTAATTCAATCATAGCAGGAGGCACAATATGTCAAGTTATCCCATTTTTGGAGAGTTTGATCATTCAGTGACAGCCAGATATTCCTATTGAAAAGGTACTTTTTCCTTATTATTCTAAATGATGTGGGAATGATGCCTTCAGAGTGGAATACAGCTGGCCCTCCATGTCCGCAGGTTCCACATCCACAGACAGAATCAACCAACCTTTGATCAAAAGGCCTAGGATGGTTACGTGTGTGTGAGCACGTATAGACTTCTTTTCTTGTCCTTATTCCCTAAACAATGCAGTATAACAACTATTTACACAGCATTTACATTAGTCATGATAAGTACTCCAGAGATGATCTAAAGTATATGGGAGGATGTCCGTAGGTTATATGCAAACACTTCACCATCTTGTATGAGGGACTTGGGCATCGTGGATTTTGGTATCCCCGGGGGTCCTGGAACCAATTCCCCACGGATACCGAGGGACAACTGTATCCTGTTCTCCCACAACCTTTCACCAAATGGCTTTTCACAGTCACTTGAAGATTGTTGCCCAAATCGATTATTATACTGAGGTTGTAAATGGTGACTTTCTAATTCTATCATTCCTCCTACATTTTCTAGCTGGCATTCTTCTGTAAAGGAGAGCTGCTCCATCTTCGTCCTCTCATTTTTATCCGTATTTTTAATATCACTATCAACTCCCAAATTTGGTTCGTGTTTCAGAGTATTTTCATCTATTACTGTCATCCTTGTCGGTATCCAAATTGTCCAATTTAGAGGTGCCCCCAGCTCCGCTTCCGTGGCCTTCTTCACGTTTCCCCACGGGTCTGAGCGCTTCCTTGCTTTCTGCCAACAAGACACCTCAATTCACCTATGCCTTCCCCGGGCCTGAGGTGAAATCAGCCACTTCTCCAGGGAGTCTGGTTCCTGCTCGTGAGCAGTGACGCTTAGAAAGCCGATGTGCGCACTGATACCGAGGATGGAGCACTGCTTCTCCACCTACAGGAGGCTTGTTATTTCAAGACAGAAAAGGCTTGACCAAGTTTATAGCTGCTGGGGTGTCACAATGTCTAGATCTATAGGTTTTCTCTTTGTTTGAAAGACTTGGGCAGGTTTACACCTTGAAGAGGTAGACAGAGAGAGACTGAAAATACAAAAGAGAAAAGCAGTAATGTACAGAAAAGATGGGAAGGAGCACCTGTTATTATCAGAATGTTTTACATATGGGCATTACACCTCAGGCAATAATGAAACAGCATCTGACAGCTCCCACGGGACATGGCAAGACACAAGACAACTTTCCTATAAAGTACTTGACTGGCTTATAACGAAATCCCTTGGGAAAGTGAAATAATCACAAATGGAATGGCCTAAAAAGGACACGTATATTCAACAACGGATCCCAACCTGAAGGACTCAGAAAAAGCACAGGTCTTTCATATGCACGCTGGGCACCATCTTTAAGCTGTGTAAAGTAGATCCTTAACATTTAAGTCCTACTCATTTTGAAATGAAAATAGTTGCTTTACTGTCACGTGCTGTGTTTAATCAAATACAAACTCATTTAAGAATTGCCCAATTCATAAGTAACTGTCACAACATAGCTTATTAAAATCGAAGGGTACTGATTCTTCCAACAGGTATGAAGTACATAAAATTTTAGGTTGTAAAGTGTATGAGGATCCCTTCTCTGCAGTATTCCCACTCCCACCGACAGTCCCAGATATTTATACTCCTCTCCGTTGGCTTTGTGAGGCTGAAGCTGGAACAAACACGCAAGTGGTTGATACTTGGCTAAGTAGTCAAAGCTGTGACCTTCTGAGAAATGAATCTCTGTTCCCCATCCCCAGAGCAAGGTGGTACCCATTAATGCCCTTGACCCCAGGATCTGGGGATCTGAGTACCGCCTGCCTAATTGAGGACTGCAAACACCATCCGAGAGGCAAAAAGAGGTCAGAGATGCATTTCCTTGCCTGGCCCCAGGGAACAGAACCACGTATTCCAAAACAATGCTGCAGAAGAAGAGGCCAGAAAAAAGCCAGGGATCCAAGCAGCTGAACCTGATTCCGGACAGGGACAGGAATCAGCTCCCCAAACCCTGAGGACAGGAGAGTTTCACACCTTGAGCCGCTCTCACCGGAGATTCAGGCTCATGCGGACTGCCGAATGAGAGCCTGAAACCCTGTGGACCTGACTCGTACTCCGCATGGTTGGGTGGTGCTTCCTGTGACAGAACAGAGAGCACAAGCAGCACAGCCTCCCTCCCCATGCCCCGTGGGAGCACGCTGGGCCACACGCCCCAGGAGGTCCGAGCACTTTGCCAAGGGTCCACCGTGCATCCTGCTGCCCTGCGTTTCAGTGCAGAAGAACATCAACCTGAGAACCACGAGAGAAGTGGGGAAGGGTGTGGGAGCCGGAGCCAGGGCGGGAGTTCCAGAGACATCTGATCATTCTACTGTCACCCCCTGAACCCACGATGTTCCATCTGAGCCACACACTGCCAGGCACCAGGTATTTGATTCCTACACGAACAGGAGCCTGCGAGGAAGCTACTAATACTCCCTCAGTTTAGAGACACAAAAACTGAAACACAGAGGCACTTAGGAACTATCCCAATATCACAGCTATTAAGAACTTGAGCCATATCTCTAACCAAGGCCCACGGCATCCAACATGCATGCTTTTAATCATTATGCTTCTCTGTCTGCCCACTATTCCAACAGAGCAGTAAATAAAGCCCACTTCACCTTCCTAGACCTTGGCATGTGAGTGACTTATTGCTGATGAGTTATTAGGTTGGGCATCAACAACAAAGCTGACGAAATTCCCTTTCCATATCAAATGATACCAAACATACCTACCAGAAAGGAACTATTCTGGTGGTTCTCGACTTGGGAACATTTAGAAATGTCTGCATTTTCAGTTGTCATAAATCATGGGGTGCTACTGGCCCCTAGTGGACAGAGGGCAGGGATGCAGCTGAACATCTTACAGTGCACAAGATAGCAGGCCCACAAAGACCTGGAACCCAAAAAACGTCAGCTGTACCAAGGCTGAGAAACCCTGGGCTTTCCCAAAGGCTGAACCCCAGACTGCAGGTGAAAAGTCACCACAAATCCATCCTGAAAATCCAGACGCAGGAGCTGGTAGAGAGGCTAGTGATGGCTGGCCATGGTCATGGCCCAAAAGTTTGACCTGTGCCACCCTTGCCCTCTTCCAGCAGCTTCCATGATCTGCTTGCATAAGCACAAGACGTGAGGACAGACCCAGGTTCTTGGATGTGCCTGTCCCACACTTGGCTACGAATCCTGCTAAAAGTGTTTTAAGGGAAGTGGTTAGAATTAAAGGTAAAGACTAGATTTGGGCCTTTTCCATTTAGTATCCATACTAACCCACCACCCATGGTCACACATAATCAACGCTTGGCTCTGTCTGCAGCTGAAACACAGACTTTTGATCTTCGTGAGTTTTAGAGTCTGTGAATAGGCCGGCCCAGGAGGAAGGCCTGGCAGCCAAGACAGGGCTGAGCCTATGCTTTGGTGGAAGAGGAAGTTTAGATGCCTAAGAGGAGCATGCAGATACTTCTAGTGTAATTAGCACAGCTTCTCAATTGCAGCACGCGACCAGAGCATTCACCCAATCCTACACTAAATTAAAGCATGTCCATCACTGGCCTAGATTCTAACTGAAAGTGAAGTCAGTGGGCCACAGTGGCCTGCAGTTAGGACCACCAAGTCAGATCTTCTCAAGAGCTCATGCCTGCCGCAGAGAAAGCCAGCTCAAGGTGAGGAGCAGCAGCCAGCGGAACCCTCCTGCTGCCAGCGGGGCCGAGGGGACGTGCGTGTGGCACCCACGCCACAGGGAGCAGACCTGCACTTCCACCCGGAGTAGACACTCTACCACCTAGCAGTCAACGTCACTTGTTTTCGTGACCATTACGAACAGTCCGATTCTGTGCCCCTCCTTGGACATCAGTGCAGGAGAAAGAAACGTGAGGCAAATCAAATCAACCTTCACTGTCATGTGATCCAAGATTGCTGGCCTGATACCACCATTCCTGAAGCTGGTTTAGGTGCTTGCTGCTCTGTTCCTTTGTCACTTCCTACTATGAGAGCCCCTTGTTGTACCCAGAAGTACCACTCTGTTCAGCCTCCCCTGAGAATGGGAGCTTCCTATGAGCTCCCCGTGGCTCATGTATCCCCACCGTGCCTCACAAACACGTTCTGATGGATTTAGTGAGCAAAGGAACAAAAGCTCCTGGCAAAGGAAGAAAGATCAGGGATATACAGGAGCCCAAGGCTACAATGTACCTTAAGAACTGAAGATTTCAACAAGGGGAAATCGCATCAAGTACAGCAGAGAAGTCAGGAAAGAGACAACTTCTCAGTACTCAAAGGGTGATAAATTTAGAAATGAGGTCCCTGCAGCCTGTGCGGAGTGTACGGACTGTGGCGCGTCCTCAGGGTGATGAAGGGAAATAAGAGGGGTTCATTCTTCTGCTTAAAGGAGAAAGTGAGAGTCTCATGGCTGAGCCCAGAGAGAGTGTAGGCCAGACGGGCCATGGAGAGCTGACGGGTTAGAGAGCCACTGCGTGGTGCTGACAAGGAGCCACGCAAGAATCAGGCTTCCGAGAAGCTAGGGGTGGTCAGTTACTGAGAAAGAATACTCACTTCTATGAAATCAACAGCCACACTTGTGATGACTTCCTCCCAGATAGGCCCACGACCTAGAAGCAGAGGACACTGCGCGAGCACCCTAAGGACCCAGGGCTGAGGGAGAGGCAGGACCATAAGTCAGGGTGCAGGGAGTTCTAAAGCATGCAGCCGACCACGGAATAAGAACGGCCAGGAGGCTGAGGACAGACTTAGAATTAATCAATATTATTGAATAGTATAAAATATTTTAAAAATATAAACTATGTCATAAAGTATTGAATAACATAAAATATTACAAACTGCAGGACTGAATAAGCAGCCCACACATCAATCCCCTTTCTATTCAATCCATTCTACCTGCTCTGGAAACCGTCTAAAATATCACAATTGGCACCAAAAAGGGAAAAGAAAACCAAGTTCCATGTTAGGGCAGGGGAGATAAAATCAGCAAAACTGAAAAAAAGCTCCAGTAGGTTTAGCTCATGTCTGATGATCACACGCCGGAACCCTTTTCTACTGATATGAGAATCATCTAGAAACAAATACTTATCTCACACGAAAAGGTGTGGGCACCTCAGATTCAAGCTCATGACGTCTGGACTTGAAGCAGGGAGAAGAAATACCAGATTGTCCCTTGACAAGGACTGAACAAGGAGCAGGAAGGAAGTGCTCATCACAGGCAGGTGCCGATGAAAGAGGGATCTGAAAGCAGTCCATCCTCCACAAACATTTTTATTTCTAATTATGAAACAGTTCAAATATATAAAAATAAAAGTACTGAAACTAATGTCGGTAACACCAGTGCACCCAATTGCCCAGGGTCAATTGATGGCAACGTTGAGGCAAAGTTGTTTCAGAATTTACAAGATGAAATGCCACAAATACGGTTGGAGCACAGCCACCCTGCACCATCTCTTCCCTCCCCAGGAGTAAGCACGTCCTGAAGTTGGACTGTATCGTCCCGATCAGGATGTGTCCAGTACTGCCCTGCATCACGTACAATATCACTCCACAGAGAACTTAATCTCTCTGCTTTATTTCTAAAGAGAACTTGATAACCTTTGAGGAACATTCTACGTAAATATAAGATGTTCTTTAACACTTGCTCTCAAGTAGATATCTATAAAATATCTAGTTACATTTCCAGGAGACCACAAGGATAGGATTATGCTGATGAAATCTGTAATGGATAAACTGAGAAAGATCCTAGATTTCAGGGCTACCTATAATGTAACTTTTCCCTATCTGGAGTCCCAACCAGAGCAAAGAAAAACAAGCTTTTTAACCTCCTCACCAAACATTTATTAAATGTCCCCTGTGTACAGGGTCTGAAAAAAACTTGCTACTCAAGAGAGTCATCAAGCTCGCAGCATCAATATGACCTGTGAAGTCTGAGTCTTTAGCAAGATCCCCAGATAGTCTGGATGCACATTAAAGCGTGAGGCGTGCAAGTTTAAAGAATTCAGAAAGGTGGCAACACAGACGAAGGCAGAAGCAAATGCAACCAGCATTCTGCCAAACTCCTCTTCCTCCTGTCAGACGACGCAGGTGTCAGCTGTTGTCTCTGCAAAGGCCATACCTGAGCGTCAGCAGACCGGTGGTTACCAGCCAGGGGTGATTCTGCCTCCCAGAGGACATTTGGCAAAGCCTGGAGACAATTTTGCCACAATTTGAGGACATGGTGCTACTGGCATCTAGTACACGGAAGCCAGGGACGCTGCCAAACATCCACAATGCAGAAGTCAGTCCTCCACAGCAAAGAACTGTCTGGCCCAAAATATCCACAGTGTGAAGGTTTTTAAACCAAAAAAATCCTCCCTATGATTTCCTGGCTAAAATGATCAATTGTTAACTTCAGTAATTTAAAAAACTGATTTGAGCATCTGTATCCACGGGGCAAAAAATAAACCGATAACTAAAAACACTTCCCGTCCAACACTCTCAAGTACAGAGTTTATAAGGTTGCCGTGGGAGTTCACAACCAAATCCATCATCATCAATATTGACACCCAAGACCAAGTACCATGAAACACCAAACGGTCATGTTGAAACATTTCACAATTATAAAGGCCGAATTTAACAAGTGAGTACATTGCTACCACACACTTCTCCAGTAAAAACATTCTGGTGCTCATTTAACCTAATTAATTCTTCATTTTTCTCCTACAATACAGATCATTAGTGAAGAAACACTGGCTACTTTGAGATGACAAGCATTCACTGGGCTAAACTACTTCATTGAAAGGAAACCTCATATTATACAAAATCTGTTCAAGGTAATTGAAAAAACCCTCATCAAAATGTTAGGAAGAAATCTCTTCTCTTCTTCAGAGAACGTAGAATTATGGCACACAATCAGAAGGGTGGTCTGCCATTCTTGTATAGAGAGAAACAGGTCCCCGTGTGAGGACCTAAGAGAAAACATTCAGCGACCGTGATCCACACGCTCCTTTCACACGTTACTAGCTGCCCTTTGGTCTCACGCATCCCATTCCACTCCATCTTTAATTATGTTACAAAAGACCCAAAGGGCCGGTCCATACAGACACACAGGCCATTTCCTTCTCCTTTACCCACATTTGTGGAACGAGGAAGCGTTCCACCTAAGGGAAGCTGAAGACGTACTCTGTTAAGTATCCTTTTTTAAAAAAGTTTTGCCACATACAGAAATCTTTCTTAAATATAGTCTCAAGAATTTAGGGGGCATTGTTTACATTCCCGAAGCCTGAAGGTTAACATCATGACCACTTTCACTACAGAAATGAAGAGAGAATCTCAAAAATAACTACTGTGGGACGGGCTGGCTATACCTCCACAAACCGGCTCACCAGAATGCCCACTTTTTCAATTGCTCATCGTCCAGAGGTCCTTTTCCTGTTTTTTTCCTTTCTTTCTTCCACTGCCTGACCCTCATCCTTAACGGGCTGGAGCAAGCTCTTAGAAATAATGACTCGACCGAGAGCCTGGGGCAGGGAAGGGAGCGTTGCTGGGTCACACCAAGACAGACTTTGTTGCCTTTCCGATTCATTTGGTTCTTGCTTATTTTGGGGTTACTGTATAAAATCAGCATCAGTATGTGACTATTTCCTCCATCTGTGAAATGACTTGGAGTTTCCATAGGTCCCTTTACCAGGACATTCAATCCTCTGTACTAAAGACAAGGAGAGGAGACGTGGCAGATGTGACAAGGTCAAAGTTACACAACTCGGTTATGATCTTGTCCCGTTTTTCACCCAACACATGTTTGTGCCTTTTGGGCTCAGTACAGAATTGGCCTCACCTGCTGCAGCTGCCTTACGACGGCTTCTTTTTCACACCGCTCTCCACCCTTATCAGGGTAGAAAAGGCTGCCATGCTCTGAGACACCAAGACCAAGTACAGCAAAATATGTACCTGGAGGGCACAACGCCCTCCTGTCAACTCCAGTGCTGAGAAAAAGTATTTAAAAGCTTGAAAATTACTACCAAATTGTCTCAGATTTGCCTTTCACTCATGACTCCTGTGGAGTGGCCAACCAGACAGCAGCACAGAAGCAATGACACCCTGCCTCTCCCTCAACCAGCATGCCCCAACATTTCCACCACCTGCGACGGCTTAAAAATGGGCCAAAATCGCAAGACAATGTTTGAGGGGAAAGACCCAAGCAAGTGTTGAGCACTGACTCTGCTTCAGAAGGCAGACCTGCTCTGGAAGTTTACCTGGGTCAGCCAGCCCCTTCTATCGATCTCAAAGTGAGGAGGGAGGCAGCAGGGATGCTAGTCACAAGGGCATCTTGCTCAGATTCTCAACGCTTCTGGGAATCTGAGAACACAGTTCTGGAACCACAGCATCAGGCTACATGCAGACATATTGCAGCTCAAAAGCACCTAAGTCACAGACTCTGAGAAAACGTCTTTATACGGATTTCCTAAGGAAAGGAATTGTGGCTCTCCCTAAATCATTTCTGGGAAATTCTTCACTATTTCTTATATATAGTGGCTTCTGGTAAGTTTCTATCAGGAAGGACTTTGACTCTCAAACATTTCTGGAAATTCTTCACTATTTCACTATATAATTATATATTACATAGTTAATATTGCTCTCTTCTTCAAAATGGGTTAACATCTACATTTTTCAAAATTTTACATTTTACACTCCTGTGATCCCAAGAGTTACTGAGTGCCTACCTACCATGAGCAGTGCATCACAGTGACTGAGATGGTGGAGTCCCCAGCACTGGGACCCCGGGGAGCACAGGGCAGGATGCACCCTCTCAAGTTCTGTGACACTGGCTCTTAGACTAAGCCGCATCTTACTATCAGGGGACGAGACACTATCTAGTCTAAATTCACTGCACACGGACTCTTTGCCACAGCGGACAGCTTAAAGTAGGAAACGTGGCCCCTTCGCTTTCCATCTAAACTATGAAACAGGCCACAGAACACCTAGAAAGAAGCAAATGACTACAAACTCCTCTGCTCAGAGCCAAGCGTGCAGCCAGAGGACGGGTGTAGTGACAGGAGAAAAGCACAGAAGTGTGAGTACACACACAAGGGGGCTCACACCCCGTCCACCACCCCACAGCCGGGGCGGTGGGGGAGTGGGGGCGGTTTCCTTAAAGGAAGCACATTCAAGCTGAGGCCTGGAGGACGAAGAGAAGACAGCCAGCCAACAAGGTCTTGAGAGAGTTTTCCACACAAATGAAAGTCTGTGCAAAGGTCTGAGCTGAGAGAAATCACAGAACCTACGAGGGGGCACAAGGGTTCAGGACAGCAGGAACTCACACTGGAGGCGGAGGAAGCGGGGGTCTGACCAAGGAGGACTTGGTTCTGGGAGCGAGGACCGACTATTATATCTAAGATGGGCAGTAACATTCGCTTTGATGTAGCAAACACTCTTTCAAATCAGCTCTAATCTTCCCTGTGCCCTAAATCAGCATGTCTGACATCAGTGAAGAATGCAGAGCGCTCCCTAACAAAAGAAGGTTCTGGGTAATAGCTAGGACAGCCTTGTCCAATAAAAATACAATGCAGGCCACATATGTAATTTTAAATTTTAGTAGCCATATTCTTTTTTTTGGCTTCAGGAAGATTAGTCCTGAGCTAACATCTATGCCAATCTTCCTCTATTTTTCTTTCTTTTTTTTTTTTTCTTTATATGTGGGACACCTCCACAGCATGGCTGGTGAGCACAGTAGGTCTGCGTCCAGGATCTGAACCCGTGAACCTGGGCTGCTGAAGCGGAGCACACAAAACTTTAACCACTTGGCCACCAGACCAGGCCCCTAGTAGCCATATTCTTAAAAAGTAAAATTAAGATTAACTATATATTTCACTGGAATATTCCTAAAATATTATTTCAACATATAATCAATATTTAAAATATGAAAATATTTTATATTCTTTTTTTCACACCAAGTCTGTGAAATTCAATGTGCGTTTTACACTTACTTCCCATCTCCATCGAGACTGGCCACATTTCAAGGGTTCTACAGTCACATGTGGCTAGTGGCTACCAAGCTGGACAGTGCAGATCTAGAATGCATTTCTAGATTAGGAAGCATTTCTCAGAATGTTTAAGGCACTTTTATCATTCGTGTTTGTTTTCTAATTTATAAAAGTAATAACAACCAGTTTTACAATGGAAATAAAAAACCCAGACTATCTCAGTTTTGCAAGATACCCACACTCCCACACCGAAAGCACCAGTCACTTGTGGATGTGTATGCTTGTAAGACATTGTCCTATATCCAAAGCACATGTAGGGTCTGTGTCAACAGCTCTTAAACCTAATATATTAAACAGAGTTCTGAAAATGAAACAGATTTACTTCTGTTTTTATAGTTTGATTACCTTTCGAGACCATATTAAATGAGCATTTCCTACAACTTTGGAGTTTCACAGGAAGCCATTCTCGTTTGAGGAAAATGCTGGTCTCCACGATTACCTCAGTTCTCAGACCGTCCTATTCTCCAATTGTTCTTTCCTGTCATCTCTGTTCTTCCCTTTTCAAAAAGAAGGAAGGAGGGAGGGAGGGAGGGAGGGGACCTAACTAATACATAGCAGAAACTTGGCACAGAAAAGGGTTCCACTGCCCTTCGTTTTACCACACGGTGAGACACGGAGGCTGTTGGTGCCCTTTGAGTGACAGTGTCACGTCCCTTTCCAGGCCTCACCCTCGGAAGCTACAGAGCGATGAACGCCACCACCACAGGTCCCTGCTCCTGGGACCCCCTCATCACTCAGCAAGTCATCCCGGCACTCTACTTGGTGGTCTTTGTGGTGGGCATCCTGCTCAATGGCGTGTCGGCGTGGGTGTTCTGCTACGTGCCCAGCTCCAAGAGCTTCATCATCTATCTCAAGAACATCGTCGTCGCCGACTTTCTGATGAGCCTCACTTTTCCCTTCAAGATTCTGAGCGAGTCGGGCCTGGGCCCCCGGCAGCTGAGCGTGTTTGTGTGCAAGTTCTCGGCGGTCTTCTTCTACGTCAACATGTACGTCGGCATCGTGTTCTTTGGGCTCATCAGCTTCGACAGATACTATAAAATCGTGAAGCCTCTACTGACGTCTGTCATGCAGTCAGTGAACTTCAGCAAACTCCTGTCGGTGATGGTGTGGGTGCTCACGCTCTTTCTTGCTGTTCCCAACAGCATCCTGACCAAATGGAGTGTCAGGGACGTGAGAGGCATAAAATGTATGGACCTGAAAAACACACTGGGCCAGAAGTGGCACAAAGCCTCAAACTACATTTTTGTGGGCATCTTCTGGATGGTGTTTCTTTTGTTAATCGTTTTCTACACTGCTATCACGAGGAAAATCTTTAAGTCCCACCTTAAGTCCAGAAAGAACTCCATCTGGGTCAAGAAGAAGTCTAGCCGCAACATATTCAGCATCATGTTTGTATTTGTTGTCTGTTTTGTGCCTTACCACATTGCCAGAATCCCCTACACGCAGAGCCAAACAGAAGCTCATTACAGCTGCCGGTCGAAAGAAATCTTGCACCACGTGAAAGAATTCACTCTGCTCCTGTCGGCTGCAAACGTCTGCCTGGACCCCGTTATTTACTTCTTTCTCTGCCAGCCATTTAGAGAAATCTTATGTAAGAAACTGCACGTCCCATTAAAAGCTCAGCAGGACTCAGACGCTTGCAAAACCAAAACGGGAAACACAACGCAGGAAAGCACAGATATTCTGTGACCTCCCACCTCCTTGCAAATGAAGCCTGCAGATGCATACTGTAATCTGTAACTACAGGCTAAGAGGGAGGAGTGAGCAACGTGCCCACGATGAGCAGTGTCATCTGTAAGCATTACTGTCCAATTTAGTACAAAAATAAAAGGTACGTTTCCATGTTTTTTCAGTAACATCAAAGAAAAAATAATACATACATTATGCCATCTTATTTCATCAAAATAGAAGGTTTAAATTCATAATCACTAGTCTGGTCAGTTAATGTAGAACCTAAAATAGCAAATAAAGAAAATAGGAAGCAAGACAATTCACAGGGGCATCTTCCTTCTCTAAACATAAGAATTAAGTTAATGAGTTATGTAATTTTTCTCAACAGGGTGACTAAAGACCAACTTAGCAGCAGGCACAGTCTGAGAAAGGGCGAGAAAGTGAAAAGAGTCCAGTTTTCTCTGATTTGAAGCAGGATAAGCAAATGCCCAGAAAATTGCTTAAGAAATCCCCTACTGACTGATCTCATGGTATTTCAAAGGAAAGCAGATATAAATTATGTACTGTGCAATAAAAAATGTAATTTTTTCTGATAGCGTTTTGAGGATTATATAAGATACATTTTAAATGCTTTATATGAAGACTTGTTAAGCCACTTAACCTGGGGTGCTGGTGTTAGAATATTCTTAAGTAGGTTCTACTGAGGGAAGCTACATATGGGCATGTGCTGCCAGCAACTTCCTCTGTTTAATGGTATGAAAAAAGTAGGATGACTGGGAAAAGCCAGACACACACACACACACACGCACGCAGAGGCTGGCAGTATACATTATTCTCTAGGGGTGGGAAAAAGTAGTTTTCTTTTAAGGGACTGTATGTAATAAAAAGAAAATCTACAATTTACAATAATGAGAAATTACACATAAAATAAAAACTTACATACTACATTTTCTGGAGAACACACGGATTTAATATGCAGAGATATGAGATATGGTTGCTGGCTTGTGCATTATCAAAAGTAATTCTTTCTCTGCTATTAACTGGCTAGAAGTCAGTCAGCTCAGCTTTCCAACGCGCTCAAACATTTTTGTAAGTCATGTTTATACATATTTCATGCTTTACTGTATATGTAACAATAAAGAAATTATTTTTAATAATGTCAATTTTTTCTTAATAATCAAGAGATGAGAAAACATTACCACATTTCCTCACAGTCGAGATGTGGGTGAGTTCTGCAATGCGGCCCATTACACATGCTAACAGAAGGAAGACAGTTCCGTAAGAACTCACTGACTTTGCGAAATAAGTATTTCCCATGCTCTGGGACCTCACCAGATTTTAGGCAAAACTCAGAAAACACACCTTAAATTGAGTCGGAGCTGGGAAGGTTTCCACGCTCCCCGTGTGCCTTCTAGCCTCGAACAGCTCCCTGCTCCCCACTCCGGGTCAGATGTCCTCTCTCAAGAAGAACAAAATCCTCGGCCCACGAGAAACGTGCTTGGCGCAACTAAGCTTGCTCTATTTGTTTGGCTAAACATATCTGAGAATGAAATCGGGCAGGGACAAATTAGCAAACACTGCTGTTGCCTATGCCCCGTCCTGGGCCGGGGGAGGAAATGGAAGTAAAGAGAAGATGCGGAGCCCTAAGAGATGCCTCCGCACGCACGGGCGCAATAAAGCACGTGGGTGATGGGAAAGGAAACAGCAGCAGAGCCGCGGAGGACGCGTGAAGCAAGAGTGAGCAACAGCTGCCACGCTGAGAACTTTCAGGCCCAGGGCTACAGAGGAGCACGGAGAAGAGGGCAACAGCAACACTAGGTTAACCCAGAAACTTCTGTGAGATCACCAGGGGTATTTTTTTAAAATTACTTTGTGGAATAATTTCTGTCGCTAATTTATTGATAAGGTTGATAATATATATTTACTACGGATAAAGTAATACAACACTGAACCATTTGGTACAAGCAGAGCTGTGGGATGGTTAAAAAGCCTTTTGAAGATTCACATATGGAAAAGGAAAGCTTCGTTTTGTGAAACACGGTTCTTTTGGGGAATGTCCTGTCGTGAAAGGGCAATCCCACAAGCCACTGGTCCCCCTCAGAGGACAGTGACAGGAAGAAAGTGGTGGCTCTTACTGTGGAATCCCACACGGCACGAGTTCCTCCCCCTCAGACTCACAAACCCTCGGGGTGCTGTTTACGAAGAGGAAATCCCACATCCTTTGGGGGGGTGATCTGTTAGGTCGGTAACCGGCATGATGTTATCTCTTGATGCTACTGATACTTTCTGTATTAACAAAGACACTTTTTCTTCTTCTTCTCCAGAGTCAAAGGATATAGGTGGCAGCAATAGGGTTGAGCTCAGAATAGAGAACCAGTGGCACACACTCTACTACCATCACCAAGTAGAGACAAAGCAGGTGTTGGGGTGTTTCAGGAGTTTCTGGATTAATCTCATGGTGAAGCCAATGAATCAAGATTTTCTCATTTGCAGGTGACAAAAAAAAAAAATACAACTAAAATTGGACTTAGACAATTAAAGAGATTTGTAGCCTGACAGACAGGAATGTCCTGATGGAGCCAGGCCTGGGTTTGTACCATTTCTCCAGCCAGCCTCCATGGCGTCAGTCGCAACTCATAGGAAGCTGTAGGCTGTCCTTTTGTGGTAGCGAAATGAGGGCAGCCCTTCTAGACTTTGCATCTTCACAGCCAGCCCTCTAGAGAATGTCTTCAGAAATGTGAGGCTTGCTCTCATTGGTCATATTGGGTCATGCTCCACCCCAGCCTGTGGCCAGTGGAACCGGACACGCTGATTTTCAATTACGGCCTGACCCTGATGTTGGGGACAGAGTGGGCTCTGTGATAGGTAATGGCCAAGAAGAGGGAAAAGTGAATTTCCCAAAGAAAAAGTTTTGCTTTTATTGCTTGGCAAAGAGTATGGAGGCTGAGGAGATGACCAACAAAGGGGCACCAGCGGTGACAACATTCTGCAAACAAGCACTGCGAGGCACAGCCACCTCAGCCGGGAGGTTTCACGTGTAATCTTTGTGTGTGATTATGAGCTCTTTGTTTCCTGGTTCTGCTTTTCTCAAGCATTTCTTTTATAAAAACACTTTAGAATATTTTTATATAGGTAGTTGAATCAATTATGCGTGAAAATGGAACCTCACTTCAGTTCACACCTAAGGACTCCTGTTAGCAGGGGATCTTCAGTCATCGTCAAGAGCCACTTTGCAACACCTTCCTGTTAGATTCCCGCATTCCACATGTTGCAAAGCAGCTGTTGGCATATCTTATTTTCTTTTTAAATGCTGCCCCAGCAATTAACAACTTAGTGACTTAACATGTCTTGGAAACACAGGGTGACAAGAGGCTGGAGCGAAGGGCCTGTTGACCTCTCTTGATGAGGCACAAGCTCCGAGCTCCGGGATCACCAGCATCCTCAGCCTTGCCCACTTTCTACTCTCTTATGGCCGTGTTTACGTTGCCTTCTTGGCCGCCACAGGCATCTGAGTTTCTAAGCCACACCAGGCACCCTGTGAACTTGGGGACCTGCACTGTAGCTTTATCTACAGAAGGATCTAGAAAATGTCCCCTGTTGCCCAGCTGCTCTCCAGAACAGTTCCATGGCTGGCAGGGAATATGAGGAAGCACTCCATTCCTACCTCCCCCATCTCCAATAGAAGCTGGGCTACAGGCATGGAAGGGGTGTTATAGAAATAGGCCCATCTCAACAACAACGAAACACATGAAGCATTTTCCTTGAGAAAGTTTATGGGACTACTTGTTACTTTGTGAAGGCGCTTGCTATATCATTCTATGACTTCTCTCATGGTTCTAGTTAAGGTCTCCTCCCAATCCGCCTCACCCCACTTTGCAAACATTCTCTTCAGTGCTTTGGGGACCTGCAATGCAGGACCCTGGATCCAGGGTCACATGGTTGTCCTACTCCCAGCCTCGAGGTCTCCCTAGCTCTAACCCCCCCGGGATCAGGCTGTCAGGGGAAGCCCAGAGCTACACCACTGCCCTCTGCCTCTCAAATCCCACGTCATGGGTGAACCGCCCAACCTCCCCGCAAAGTGCATGACGACATCCTAAGGGCTTACTTCCCTCTCGTCCCACCTCTGACATGAAAGGACAGCACACGGAAACATGGCTCTTATCATCTCCATACAAGACTCATACTACTTAAAATCACTTCTTGATAATCTCTTTTCTAAGCTAAAAGATTCTCTAATGTAACTTGCAGCTTTTTTCAAGCTGTTAATTATTTATGTTCTACTCTAAACCATTAGCTTTCTGAAGGAACACCAGCTCTCTCTGATATCTTACTGACTGAGAAATTAATACTCATTTTGTTTGTAAAATAAAAGCCAATTTCAACTCTATATCAAATTCAAAGAAAAGCACACCACTATAAGAAATTTTTTAAAAACTTGCAATGTCATGATCAAGTATATTTTAGTATCTCGTTGATATTATGAAAGTAGTTAGGTGAATAAAAAGGAAAATGCTATGTGTTAATAGGAAAAGCAGCATTTCCATCAGTGATACCTAAAATAAGAGCTCTGTAAGTGTTTACAAAGTTACATTCAGAATGTCTTGGTCATGACTGATACAGCACTGAAGAACATTTAATAACAAAATGAAAAGGAATAAATCAAAAAGCAAGCTATGCTACATCAAATGATGAGGGGGCACCAAAAACACAGGGACCCAATAAACCAAACGCAGCTTTCTAGCTGCACCCCGGATGCTCCCCGCAGACTTCAGCCCGCCCCGGCCCGCCCCACCCCGGGGCTGTAATTCCTCCTCTGGTGTTCCCAACCGCCCATCTGCTCACTGCCTCTCACCTAACGTGACCGCAATCACCCCTCCCTGGTTACTTGTCTTCCACCTTCTCCCCTAAACCCAATGGGCTCCAGCGCCCGCAGAGTCGCCGGGCACTGCTGCTGAACTGACAGCTCCTCTCTTTGCACGACTTCCTGAGCTCTCCACTGCTCGCTGATGAGAGCATCCAAGACTGACCGGATTGAGCCAAGATTTGGTTTCAGCCTTTTCCTCACACAGAACCTGCTGAGACCCTCCAAGCCACCATTCGCTCACGTGTCAGAAGCGTGTCCCCACCCGCCTCAGTCAGAAGGGCTGCGCGTCCTGGCTTCCCAGGGTTCTGAGAGCCAGCAGGAAACCGCACCACGGCAAGCCCCACACATTCCTTACCAACCTTTCTACACTAACCTTCTAAAGGCAGCGAGAACGAGCTCTAGGATGAGAGCTAAAGACACAGCCTGCGGCCCAGACGTGTTCCCTGTTAGAATTTTTCTCAACTACCTGATCAAAAAGACAAAGATTCACATGGCAAGGGAAAGGGAGAATTTCTCCAAAGAACCTTCTCCTGGACAGTAACAAGAGAAGTCATAAAATGTGTTCTAAGCTTTAAAAATGTGTTACTCATAACTTCATAAGAAATGGACCATAACCACTCTAGTGGAAAAGAGAAAAATGAACTTCAGTGACTAAAGAGAAACAAGATAACCTTTAAATGTTCTTTTTTAGGGATTTCCCCCTTATTAATTATTTTATAACCAAGGATCAAAGAGTACAGTCACACCTCACAACTGAAGGCTAAAATGGACTGCATGCTGACCCCATAACACTGTACTGTCAATAAAGAGGCAGAGGGGCTGGCCCGGTGGCCGAGTGGTTAAGTTCTGCCGCTCCACTTTGGCGGCCCAGGGTTTCGCCAGTTCGAATCCTGGGTGCGGACATGGCACTGCTCATCAGGCCATGCTGAGGCAGTGTCCCACATGCCACAACTAGAAGGACCCACAACGAAGAATATACAACTATGTACTGGGGGGCTTGGGGAGAAAAAGGAAAAATAAAATCTTTAAAAATAAATAAATAAATAAAGAGGCAGAAACCCAAAAGGGTGGGCAAGGGGAGTGACAGGAACACACTCAGCCAGTCCTAAAAGTGGGTCCACCTCCCAAGAATGAGCGAAACACCTTTGCTTCAAAACACTTCCAAATTTTCACTTTCTAATTCGCTACAGAGGGAAACTGAGGCAGAGTTTAAGTAACGTAGAAACAGGAGCCTCATGGGAGCTCTGTCTACACCTCACTTTAAAACTACTCTGTCTGACCACGTCTGTCACTCAGATG